CTACATCTTCATGTTTCAGAGCTTTCCCTTGGGCGACAAGAGTTCGGTAAATCTGCGGGGCAATTTCCACGTGGAAAATGTGACGACATTCGAGGACTTCCTGAAGGAATCGAATACGGACGAGGACTCTATGCAGATCGATGCTGATGGATCTGTTCCTGTTCCCAAGGAAGAGTCAAAGTCAGAGGAACCAGTCATTCAAACCGAGGATGTCGACAAGAGCAAGGACGCGAAACCTACGACACTTGACACTGAGACTCTCTATCCAGTATTCTGGTCATTGCAACACTCCTTCTCGAATCCACCCAGGCTTTTCGAAGAAGATAATTTCAAGCAATTTCAGAAGAGCTTGGAGGCGACGCTAGCCAAATTCAGGGAAGTGCCCAAAGTGATCCAGGCCGGAGATTCAGAGCGAAAGAAGGGACAAAAGTCGCGAGACGATGACGACTACGATGCATTCGCCAACTCCTTTAATCCTAAGTATCTTACAAGCCGTGATCTGTTCAAGCTCGAGGTACGCAAGATTGCCACTATCAATCTTGCGCTAGGACTGACAATCTCCAGCTGAGCGATCTCGCCTTCCAACGCCACATCCTTGTTCAAGCACTGATACTCATCGACTTTTTGTTGACTCTGACCGAGGGGTCCAAGAGCAAGCCATTTTACCAGAATGCGCAGAAGGCGATGCAATACAACTTCACATTGCGCGAGGAAGACGTAAGTGCCCATCATTTGCCTCTTCTCACACCCTCCGTCACGCTCTCGTGCTCGCTTCGCTGTCCATGATCATCATCTTCTCGGCTGACCACAAAGCACAGACCGAGTGGGCATTGGGCATCAAGACGGCTATTGCAAATTACCTGCAGGAAGGCCCAGATGGCAAATTCTACTACCGGATGGTGGACACCGTGCTTTCCCGCGACAAAAACTGGGTACGATGGAAGATGGAGAACTGCCAACCATTCACTAGAGATCGAGTCCCCACAACGGACTTCCAACAAGCCAAATCTGGGGCGCAGAAAGCTGTTGTTGGTAAGAAGGCGTCCAAGCCCATGGGTGTTCCCAGCAGCTTGAATTTCCTCTACAACAATGAAGCGGATAAGGGTCTCTCTCAACTACGGCAAAGCGACAGGTACGTGCTCCGCTCGTCCGACTGACACTCGATCCCAGCCTCTGACGTCCAGTCAGGTTCAATGTGCCGAATGCAGAGTCATATGCAAAAAAAGTGAAGATGACCGACTTGGATTTGGAAATGACTGACGCAGAGGACGAGAAGCGGCAAGCGGGGGAAAAGAAGTCCAGCTACATCTGGCGAGGTCTTCGCGTGGCTTCGAAGACGCAGCTAAGCTCGTTCGATAGAATCGAGCATGGCAAAGGCCTCGAGGCTCTTCAGCCGGCCACCTCTTCCATTGAGGCGACGGGCGTTGACGCTGCACCCACTGCTTCGGAAGACCAGGGGGCTATTCCGCAAGACGAGCATCAGAGCGTCGAGGAGCAGCGGCCCGACCAGCGTAGTCAAGTGACTGCGGAACCAGCGGCGTAGTGGTAGCAGCGACAGGGGCAGTGTCGCCTGCGCCAGCTCGGTATGAATTATCGACGGCTCTTGAGAAACACATGAGCTTTTCCTCATACGTTACTGTGCAGTATGGGGAGCATTGTGGCGCTTTCCCATCGAATTTATCGCTGCAAGCGAAGAGAACATGGGGTTCATCTCCCCGAGCCACTCTCAGCGTATCGATAGATCGGAGGCCAGTCATAGTGTGAGCGACCGCACAGCCGGTCGCCAACGGCGCCCCTCAATCTGCAACGCCACGACTGGAGGTCGGAAGGCTGTGTGCGGCGCGAGCAGGCAGTGGAGATGAAGAGCCCCATGCTGATGAATAGAAGTCTTCGCAATATAGCCTCATCGCGTGGGAATGTACGCCGTTTCCCGGGACTCGCTCTGATGTAACCACGATAGCAAGATTGTGGCTCTCGTGCCTGGCTAAGCATGACGGAGTGTCCAGGCCCTTGAGGAATGCTCTGATCACAGATGTGCCGTGATGCGCCGGGGTGGGGCCGTCTTCAGGCTCATTGAATGAGTTGTCAGCACAAAATCCACCTACGTGGGAGATGCTGCATGATTCCGAAATGAAGGGACCTGTACGACCTGACACGACCGTTCAGCGCAGTCCGAGGCTTCCAAGGTTCTCTGCGGTGGACTGGCACGCGGTGGGACCACCTCATGATGACATGACAAGTTGCGAACCACACGGCGGCCACGGGCCCAGACTGCTGGCAACGGATCGCAATCATATTCAATGCATTATGTTCGCGAGAGGGACCGAAGCATAAGGACCAGAGGCAGGCATGTTCTGCCGACACTGGACAGGCACCCATGCGCTCATCAAACCCACACAAGTGTTGCGTCCCCCACCAATGGCCCGCCAGCGTATTCGCGGGTTCGCTATCGCTTGCTCCTGTCATTTCCACAGGCCGTCCTCATCCGCCAGCCGGGCGGTCTTGGCGTTGTTTGGGAAATCGACCGCGACGCCCTGCCGGCATCGCGTTTTGGAGATTGCGTGTGCACGCCCGGCGACGTGCTTTTTGTCGTTGCGAAACGGGCCAAACGCTGGCGGTTACCCGCGTGCTTCACAGGCAGCGTGCAAAAACAATATGCGCCGGTTCAGGCAATGCGACCGCAGACGGCGCGAGGCGGACAGTGTGCATCATTCGTCACGGGCGCTGGCCGCGGTATCGGCTACACGTTCAGGTCTGCTTTGGACACGGGCGATGGCGATCACGACGGAACGGCGCAGCAGGGGTGGCTTGCGCATCGCCCATTTTTCCCTGCAGTGCGGCCGAGCAGACTGTTGCGGTGCGCGCAGCCTCGCTGGCAGGTCATTCGCGCGCTCCAGCACCGTTTCAGCGCGCTTGCTTGGACACGCACTTCCAAACACGTTACGATAACCACCGCTGTCACCCAACTACCGACAGCCCACCAGCGTCGCACACAGTCGCACTACAGCGAGAACAGGCTTCGAGAAACAGCCAACTTCAGCATTTTCCCGGCGCGGGCCGAGCTTTTGGCCGTTAGATCGTTGTTAGCCCAGCCAGATCTGTTGCGCGCTGGTGACCCCCCGCTGCCCATTGGCGACGGCGTCATTGCTAGCCGCTCGACTACTCACCACACTGGATCAAGCAGGTGTGCAGCTGCAACACACAAGCAGCTAGACGCGGTTCCTTGGTTGCCGGCCAGCATCATGGGTCACGGCTGAAGACGACCAAGGTTCAAAGTTCATGCATCTGAGCGGGCGCGATGGGCGGCTCAAACCACTGGCACTGGCAAGGCTGATGCACCGCGTTCCTGACGCATACGCAATTTGCGGTCCGTCGTCAGTAACATTTGACAGGTGCCAGCAGAAGCACTGGGGAGCCACCGGCCCAAGGCGGCCTGGTCCACCACCCAGCGCGACGTCGTCGTGTGAAGGTTGGTGGTTCGACGACAGTAGCAGCGAGTACACGAACCTGGCGGCACCAAGTCCGACCTTCACCACCACACCACCATCTCGTCCGTTCATAAACCACACTAAAGCAGCATTGACAGCAACACCCCGCAACAAGCCGTGCAAGCGTTGCCGAGCCCTGTAACATCCCTGCGCTTTCTCGCTGCGGGTTCCTTGGACTTCCCGCATCGCATCTGGCCAATAATGGCGCCGCCGCCTGCCTCGACGTTCGACTGCGAGACGCCACGGATCAGTCCTTGCTCGTCGGCCATTTTTCTACACGGGCCCTGGTCTATGCATGTAGCCTGCAGCCCACCATGTTCACGCACCGCTCGCTCCCCTTCCCTTTCGAGGGGAGGGCACCCTGGCATGCAGCACACCTGATCCAGAGCCTTTCGATTCGCCCGTTCCCGCTCCGTCTCTCCTTCGTAGTAGGCCCACGTCCCGAGCTACCGTATCCCTGTGCCCTGAGCCTTTGGGGTCTGCTAGCCCTCGACGTTAGTCACGCTTCTCGTCGTGTAACAAGCTGCTTCCAGATCCTCGAAGGATATCATGTTTCCCTAAGAGGCACCGCTGTCCATGCGTAGTCTGACCCTAGTCCCTCGCACTTGTCTTAACCTCGATTTTATCCGGATCGTCGTCAGTAGAGTACCGTCAAGCCTTTTTGTCTGAATGATCTGTTCCCCTCCCCTGCCGCCATCGCTGATATAGCCTCCGACGGTTCCTGGCCCTCTTTACAAAGGCCTACCCATCGCTGACTACCAGACGACGCTTTCACTCTTCCAAGCAAGTCGACTGTCCATCACCTCACCTCTTGTCAAGCATCAAGCGCCCACCGTCAGCGTCTATCTTTATTTGGCTCGCAGTATCACCTCCCCGGTAGCTTCTATTTCAAGCTTGAAGTTGCACCAAAACTCCGCGCCCCAATCCTACTGTCGGTACGACATCAGCTTTCAGCCTGGCTTCGCATACCCGCCATCCTTAGACCCACCAACACGCCAGCCTCGAACTACCCGTTCGTAACAGTCTCGCGTCTCTAACGCGTGCTGGACTCGCCGTCGTAGTACTGCGACTGCCTTCACTCTTTCTCGCTGATCACCCGCATCAAACCCCGCACAGGGTTCGAGCGACGATCAACTGTCCACACCAAGCTTCGTCAGATCTTTACCCCTTGCGGATTCCGCAGTCTGGTACAAGTTCGAACAAGGACGCCAACACCACCAGTCTTGAGGCCTTCCTGGTGACCACAATAACTAGGTAAGCAGCGGTCCAGCTTGAGGCCCGCTTCCCACTAACAGCGAGTCACAGGAGAGGTATCAGCCACACAGCTAAGCCTACATCTACTCCACTACATCAGTTTCAAAAGCGCCAATGGTCGACGGAAGCTTCCTCGTTCCTTTGTCTCCGCCTAGCTCGCCGCACATGTCTGCGTATAGCACGACTTCTGCAGACAACGAGTGGCATTCATCAGAATACAGAACTCTGGAACACACCCCACCACATTCAGATAGCGACATGGCCATGCTCCAAGCTGAGGTCGCTGGACACAACCTCGACATGAAGCGACCGTCAATGCGAACACACAAGAGCTTTCCTTACCTACTCGACGGCAAGAGCCACCTGAACAGCGGCAGCAACACACCATCCGGACTTGATGAGATCGAGCAGCACGACATCCCAAATGTAACCTTTGGAGGTTCAGCACCCACCAGCCCAATCTCGAGACTGACGCCCCCCTCCACCAACGATGGTGTCAATGTGGAGAAGCTCGAGGACCAAGAAGACGACGATCTCATCCTCGACGACAAGGACGACTGCGAGGATGGAGAGGACAAGGGTGAAGATAGGCAACCCATGACCGCCGCGGAGATACGTGCTGCCAAGCGGAAGATGAAGAGGTTCAGACTTACCCACAACCAAACTCGGTTCCTCATGAGCGAATTCGCCCGACAAGCACACCCAGATGCAGCTCACAGAGAGCGACTAGCCCGAGAGATTCCCGGTCTCAGCCCCCGTCAGGTCCAGGTCTGGTTCCAGAACAGGTGAGTCGTGTCATAAACCCCCGAAGCATGCAGGTGCTGACATATGTACAGGCGTGCCAAGCTCAAGAGATTAACAAGCGACGACCGTGAGCGTATGATGAGGTCGCGAGCCTTACCAGATGACTTCGATATGGCCTCAGCATTGCATTCACCATTCGGAAACTCCCACGGTCTAGGCACACCGCTGGCATCACCCGCATCTTACGGGTCAAGTTTCCCCGAAGGCAACATGATGCGACCACTAAGCATTGATACCTTCCGGCGAGGGCCGCTCGACTCGCACATGTCACCCACGGGCATTAGCCCAGCGTTCGGTGGATTCACCTTTACTCCACCCCAGTCCGCAACCGATACCATTTCACCGGTATCAGCCCACGAGGGATCCCCCTTTGGCTTCCATTCAGCGCCGCTCGACACTAGCCCCAGAACGTCTAACCCTTTCTCCATGCCTGTCAGCAACCCTACCGCCTATGCTGCACAACATAGTATCCCACGCCTCTCGCTCCATGCCGACCGAATCGCAAGAAGTCGCGCCGAGTCTCTGCAGTCGCCGTTGAGGACTAGCATGAGCTACACTGGCAGTCACGACAGCAATGGCTCCGAGAACCATCACGACAGTCGGTCCTACTCGAGCTCTATGATGCCCTATGGTATTGGCTACTCCTGTAAGTTTACATAACCCACGTGGGCTTTCCACCGTTCTAACTCTACCAGACTCCCCAGTACCAGGCTTCGGAACTTCCACGGGCAACAGAATGCGGTCCTTCTCTAACGGCGTTCCCCGGCGCATTGAGTTGAGCACCCACTACACTCCTCAACGCAACGGATCGACACCACAAACAGCCCACTTTCCATCCTTTTCTGGCTCACCGCTCGTAACACCTCAGAGCTATGCCATGCCTCAGATGAGCGCACCTCACCACATGTCGTCGTTCCCAAACTCCTACATGCGGAACGACTCGGCGCACAATGACTCGTATTCTGCCGTCGGCTCTGTCCTGGGAGAAGTCATGGAGAACACCAGCCAACACAGCGACGACCACCACGATCAGTACTAAGCGCTCGAATGTTTTGATTACTTTGAATTTATTTTGCGGTCAAGATTATGAACAGCGTGCTATGTCTTATCAAGAAAAAATGGGTACGGATATATGTTTCGACTGGATTGATGACATGACCACTGTCTTGTATCACCAATTTTCTGCGATACCAGTCTCGCATCTATATACGAATTCTTCGGTGGTTGTTTCGACATATTTTATCATAGCAGGCAGGCGATTACCCCTTGTTTTCAATCTCCTTTCAACAACAACCCTTCGCAGCTCGATTTTGCAGCGCATATTGGTATTATCATTCTATGTATCATCTTATCCTACAAACACCGCATCTCATTGTGGCAATTCAAACCCTCCAACGCAAACGCTGTACCCACTTCTCATTTCTTGGCCCTGCCGCCACTCTGCCATGTCCAATATACACGGCCACACTTGAGGCGCTTCGGAAAAAGCCATACCTGTACAAACTGCAAAGAGGCGAAAGTAATACCCACCTGACACGGCCGATCACACAACAGAACAAGTTAATGATACCCCACATCTTCCAATACAATCTTGCAGGGCGGCTACCGTCACTGCTGTGGATCTGCTACCTGCATGTGCCTGACTAACTAACCTAACGGTGGACCGATTGACACACAGGTGGTGGCGGCAGCATCGCCAAGCAATCCACCGTCGTCGAACGACATGTACCTCTATATCCAAGCGAAACTAGTCCAAACCACCTGGCCAGCTACCCAGCCGCCTCATACCTGAGGCGATGTCGGAGCCTCTAGCGGACACCGAACCATGTGGATACCCTTCTATGCCCTTGCCTAGAAAGAAGTAGTCGCTCAAGCAACTTGACAAGCACTTCTTGTACACGGCCGGACAACGGGACGATGTCACATCAAGGGCCGTGAGCACCTCTCGCAGCGCAGAGGACTTGTTCCGAAATTCCGGGCGAAGAGAAAAACTGGGCGGATAGATCTAGACAGGAATGTGGATACTACGATTACGAATGAGCTGAGCCTACGAATGAAAAACTTCCCGCGTACAGCGCGAAGGCGAAAACAACTAATTACACTGACGACGTTTGGGCGTTGGCAGACGCAGGTCGTTGTCATGGCTCGCGCAGAGTCTCACGCACACCCACATGGCAACCACACACACAGTTTCACATCACCACCTGTATCATGCACTAGAATCTTCTTCAGCTAGAAAAGCTTCCACAAACCACCAAGCCGGCTTCCCCCTCAGCGCCCCAGCCGTCGATCCTTCCCTTCCACCATCGGATGGGTGGGGGAGGTGGAGGCGAGGCAGTGGAAAGCATCACCATGCAGACTCTCTGACCATCCCTAATCAAAGTCTCAAACACGCACATGACCACGAACATGTTTAGATTGCTCGCACAAGCTGCATAGCGTGGTAGGAATGGATGGATGGGGCGGGAAAGGGACGCGAAGCCAGACGGGGGGAAGAAAGGCATGATCTCCACACTTTACCCCAGACTTTACCTGCTTTGTGGGCTGCATGGCCTCAAGGACTGGTCGTCACTACATGCAGGTATGTGTACAGGATGGTGCTTGGCAGCAGATTAATTTCGGCTTCTGAGGCTCAGGAACCGATGGGTTGCATGGGTTGTAGTGCGTCGCAGTGTGGTGTTCTAGTGCCGTTACTACGCTTTTGGTAGCGCGAGGCAGGGCAAGCTATGTACGGTAGGGGTAGGGTATAGCTGGGCGAAGTGGTGTGAGAGGATCGAAAGATGCGAAGACATGATGTACACATGCTTGATAGCTTGTGCATATCGTGACAGGGAAAGCCATGGCATGTGTGGTTAAATTGGTTGAAGCAAGTGCGACCTACGTATACGGACATCCGATGGACCAGAACCAGATAAACTTGCTGGGTTCGGATGATGGGTCCTTACGTGCGGGAGGATTATTGTGGGTTGTGCAAGGTGGTACAACATGGAAGAAAAAAACGTGGAGAGCAAAACGGTGGAGTGACTGCGAGTAGAGTAGGGTCCTTGCGCCTTCTGTTTTTCGCGTCATGTGCATGGACGTACGTTCATCGTGTGCTTTGGAAGATCGGGGTTTGTGCATTTTGCGGGGAAGATGGATGGTCGGTTATGCTCTGTTGTCAGGATCGGTATGCGTCGAGCTGCAGTATACACATCAGCAACAGAGTATGGAACTATGGCCAAGGGTTGATGGACAAAGACAGGGTGGGAATACGCCAGCAGCTGCGTGACACACTGGATATGAATTTCTTGCAGCGGCTGGCGTGTTTGAGTGGCTGGTTTGGCAGGTTGGAGAGTTTCCGCTAAGAAGCGAATGCTAGGTGTGGATCTTAACTTTGTTAGAGTTATTAAACGGCTGCTGCTGGCATCGTTAGATTGAGGAGCCGCGGGTGCTCTGGTCAAGGCAAGAGAAAGATCTTAGGCTTAATCGTGGCTGGGCACGGCCGGGGTAAGGGCTACGCGGGCGAATTGGGTCATTCACAGAGCGCCTTCTTCCAAGCGGTGGTCTTCGAGAAGGCCATGGTACATGGTTCAGCGGAGACGTCGTGTGAATGGGCAGAGGATGTGCTGCAGCCGGTGCTGGGTACGGAAGCATGAGCGTGTGATCTAGGTTGATCGGCTGCTCTTCGTGTGCGATGAGGCTCGCCGTGCATGGCTCCAGCGGCGGTGTGATAGGCGCCCTCTAGAGACGTTTCTAGCAGCTTGTATTCTCGAGTTAAGCTCGCTAGCTTCGGCCACTTATCGACAAGGGCAGGGCCGGGGCAGGTTACTCCAGACGAAAGCAAGACGCGCGACTCAGGACGGACCACACCGAGCACAAGCGAAAGCAACCATGGCATTGACAACAACGCAGGCCGGCGCTGAAGTCATCGTGGCTCACCCATGGGGTAAGGCCGCCGCAATGCGGTACGCCATTCCGACAGAACCCTCGAGGGCCACCGTTCACCTCCTGCGGAGCGCATCATGTGCAGGACGAGCGTTGGCTAGCGTCCCCCGTCGCTGCTTTTGCACCACGCCCTCCACCTTGTTCCTCCACATTCCTTCCTTTCACAAACGTCCTCGCATCGCAGCCTAGCCGCTGAGCTTACCGGACCGGACCTTAGGCAATGGCGCTACCAGAAATATTGTCCGTCAGCTCGGTGGTGTGGTGCAAGGTACACATGAGTCGCGCCTTTGCGGTCCAAGGAGTCCGGAACGACGTGCCTGAAATGATGAGTAAGGGGACTGCCATCCCGGCTGAATTACGACCTGGAACTGGTTCGACAGGAACTTTTAGCCTTCATGACGTGCGGAGAAGGCTCGAGGCTTATCCCACCACAAACACCCTATTGGCACTTCAAGAGCCGAGAAGGATCGTGGAGTCTGCAGTCTGGCGAGGTGGAGGGCACTGGGTTTCTCGGGGTCAGCCCTGCGACGCTGTGTTGTGCTTGTCGTCGTCGGTCCTGAGTTCCGGATGTGCGATTGGCCGGGTCGCATCAGGGTCGCTTTCCTGTTTTGGCGCGGAGTGAATTGCCAGTACCTAGGTATTAGAGGCGATTGGTGGAAGACGCATATCACGTGGAGGTTGCGCTGCCAGCGTCTCGCTCCACAGGTCCCGAGGCCAGCAGGGATGCGACGACTTCTGGTAGCGCTGCCATGATGATGTAGAGATACGTACCTAAGGCGGCGCCTCGGTCGAGAAGCGAAATGCAGTAAGGTATTGGAAATGGCTGATACGCATGGCGAATAGATGCAGAATGTGTGAGCCGTTGGGCAGTCATGCTTCTTCGACAAGTTCGCTCGTGGTGGGTCAGGCTCTCGCGCCTCTGGAGAATGACGATGCACGCCAGAAGAAGCAAAGGGCGGGACGGGATGATGCAGACAACAAAGACGGGACGAGCACGACCTTCCAAATTTCTTCTTTCACCTGCATTGCTATCTCCCCACCCACATGCAACTTCCTCATCTGCAGCCACGGCCGGTACTTTGAGCAAAGCAAAGAATCCTACGGCAGCTTGATACGATGTCAATTTTGACTCCAACCCGTCACATGCCATCAACGCCAAAGGATTGTGAGGCGCTTTTAGTGCCCGAGGGTGGTTCCTCAGCCGTTATGCACCTGCGTTGATACGGCGCAGGGCGATCCTCGAAGGATACGAGCAAGGCCATGGCAGTCAGCGATCGGACGACGGCAAGCTTGCGCCATCGACACCAAACCTTCTGACCCGCCTATTCGCGCGTCCGGGCACCGGAGCAAGATACGAGATGCGGAAGGCTGGCGCACGCTTTAAAGGCTGAGCTTGCCCCAAGACGCAGGCTTGGGGGACTACTCGAAGAGGAGCGTCTGCGTCTGCCACAGCCGGCGGCTTTTCTAACAGGAAAGTAAGAGTGGCACTTCGCCGAGGTAATGTGGGTGTGGCTGACGATGAGAGGTGGAACTTTTCGACGCCGCTGACGGTCAAAGTTTCCTCATCCACGGTGCCCGTATGCGGGACTCTGCGACGTTCGTTTCCTCCTTCATCTCCACACCCCCAGATTCATGGGAATTGCGCTTTCCGCAGACTTGCATATTTCCGGCATCCCAGGGCGAATACTGCGGGGCGAATGCGATTGATGGAATTGCGATGGCCAACGCATCGTTAGGCATGGCTGTCCTCTTTTGTCGCAACACGACAGAATGCGGACGTCATGCCTCATTTCGTTGGTAGGGCGCGTGAGGTTTAATCCTCAGCGCTGAGGCGACTCGCCCACACGCAAGTATAAGAGGTCGTACCAAACCGCCAGAGACCACAAGCCATCTGGTCTGGCCTCGGTACCTGGCATTACGGACCGCTGCATTACACCCGCAGCAGGGTTTCAGCATCGGTCGTGTTCGTTGCTTTTGCGACCACGACATTGCTTCTGCTGTGCTGCCGGCGCATGCAAAACCGTCGGCTGTGCGCTGCTAATGCCACGCTGCATGACAGGATTCCGGCAGCTGCTGGCTGCACTCGGCTGCTGAAGTTGCCGTCTCGTTGTGTCA